TCTCTGATCGCCACCGAACAGCTAGTTCAAATCTCCTAAAACCACTACATTAAAAACAAACTCTAATTACTAATTGGACAAAATCATTATGATGAATACATGAAAAAAAAATTACGACTCTTACCTGTTATTAGCCATCTTCCCAGCAACCAGACAGCAACACCAGAGCTTCTCTCAGAACTTCTTTCAGTTTTTTGGTGATGAAGAACCGAAGGAAAGGTGCAGTATATATATGGAATGGGTGGTGCTGGAGTGGGAAAAAATGGCAGCGACGAAGCCCCAGTCTGGGGCGCCGACGCTTTTTCTTTCTCAAAAGCGCCAAAGCCTCAGTCCGGGGCGCCGGCGCCGAGTTTTTTTTTTTTAAAAGCACCTAGCGTCGGCGCCCCGGACTGGAGTTTCGGCGCTTTCAACATATCAAAAAACACAATATTCCTGTAAATAGTTTTAAAACTACTATATTCGTGGTAAATTAAAAAAAAAACAATATTCCTGAAAATAACCCGAATAACTGAAAAGGAATATCTAGAACATATACCATTTTACTTGAGATTCAACATTAGGTATACCATTACAAAATAGATAACTGAAAAGGAACGTCTAGAACCTATATCATACTACAAAAGCTACAACATTAGGTATACCATTACGGAATGAATAACTAAACAACACCTATACCATTCCACTTGATTGGCAGCCTTACCTATACCATTTCAAAATGGATACTGAACAGAACATGTGTAACCAATACCATTCCACATTCACATAGGAACACCTATACCAATTAAAACTAATCTACACCAAATTCTCCAAACAGAGATGAGCATGCACGATCAACACCTTTCCACATGACAAACCAATCACATGACTTAGAGGATTTCATCCACATCCACAAATCAATGTCGCAAACAAGAGACTTGTTCAATATATGCCATTCCACCACAAAAAGCGATAATCAAACCCGATTAAAACCCACAAGTTTTGAATTAGATTGGTGCACATGCTACGCTATCAACTAAATAAAAAAAAAAACTACAGAAAAAATGTGCAGCCGATGAAGCACAAATCACCCAAGGTAGAAGAGTTTCTCGTTGGGGAAACAGAGTTTACCTGAACAGTGTGCAGAACGGTGATACGGGTTGAGAAGGCGTCGTGGTGCGTCGGTTGAGGCGGTCGTGGGTGCGCCGGTTGAGGCGGTCATCGATGCGTCGGTTGAATAGAGAGAAGCCGACACAAGGGAAGGACTAGAGCAAGGGAAGGGGGAATGACGACTAGGGATGGTTCTCCGTTGCCTTATGACAGCAGGTTTTGGAAAGTGCTTTGGGGTCTGCAAGTACCTCCCAAGCTTAAATTTTTCTGGTGGAGACTAGTTCGAGGATTCCTTCCGGTTTGTGCGATACTGCAGGGGAAGCGGCTGGTTACAGATGCTACCTGCCCGATCTGTTCGGCAGGGGCGGAAACTCTGGCCCACACCTTTCTCCAATGTCGGGTAGCAACTGATTTATGGGAGCTAGCCGGTTTGGGGAATTTGCGTCGCAGATTGGTTAGTTTATCCTTTTCAGAGTGTTGGATTACATTGTTCTTTTCCTGCAATTTGTCTAAAACAGAGATGGCTGATGTTGTGTTCCTGTGTTGGCGAGTTTGGAAATCCCGGTGCTGGGCGGTGCACAAGCATATTCAGTACTTAGGGCCTGCCCTCCTTCGCCAATTCAGGTCTCAGTCTGAGGAGTGGAGGCTTGCTACCGCTCCCTTGACACTGCACAGAGGCCTTGGGGGTGCTTCCGCGGAAGCTACTCAGACAATGCAGAGATTGACTCGGCCGGGAACTGCAGGTGAGTGTCCTTCTGATGGGATTCTGGTCAGGTTTGATGGTGCATACAAGCGGGGAATCGGTGGTGCTGCAGGTTTTGTAGGCTTTACCCCTGCGGGACAGGTTTTATTCGCATTCGGGAAATTTTATCCAGGTGTGTCTGATCCATTTATTTCTGAGGCATTTGCCTTGCGAGATGCAATTTATTGGTGTATTTCACATGGTTTTAAGGTAATCAATTTCTGTGGAGACTGCCAGCCATTGATTCGCAGGATTCAAGACCGGGATGTGACGCATGGGAGCTGTGGAGCGATCTTGGAAGAGATTTGTGTGGTCTCAAAGTATTTTAATGTCTTTATTTGTACTTTTACTCCGAGGTTGTACAACAGGGCTGCCCACTTAGTGGCTTCTTATGCCCTTTCATCGACAGCTCGATTTAGTATCGACTGTCGCACTTGGTTATCTAGCGTCCTGTAATATCTATTATCTTACCGATCTATGCCAAAAAAAAAAGACTAGGGATGGCAACAAAACCCGAACCTACGGGTACCCACCCGACCCAATCCGGTCAACGCGGGTAAAATCCGTGTTGACGGGTTTTGGGCTGGGTTTGGGTTTAAACCCGCTACACTATTCACCGGGTCGGGTTGGGTTTGGGTTTAGGTAAACCCGTCCCATGGGTACCCACCCACACACATATAATTACTTTCTCGGTATATTTAATATTTTAAATAATATATCTTCCTTAAACAACTAATATTCTTTATGATTGTGGAGACATGTATAATTTGTTCTTTCTAATTGTTTAGAATGAAGTTGATATTATGAAGTGGAGAGTGAAGAAACTTAGTTGACGAGGAAGAAGCTTTCAATTAATCTTATTGTTTATAGATGTTTATCTTTAATTTTGAACAATTTGTATTGATCATTTGCGGTTTGCTTGTATACTCTAGATTGGTGTTTTTTGTATGAATAATTTGTATGAGAAAATTGATGTTAAACTTTTATTTTGAAAGACACTTGTTATTGTAAATTTTTTATCACAAAAACCCACGGGTACCCATGAACCCGCGGATACACAGTGGGTTGAGTTGGGTTTGAGCTTTTCAAACTCAGCGGGTTTTAGTTTTACCCCGGATTTTTTTGGCGGATAATCCCATGGGTTTGGGTTTGACAAAACCCACCTCAACCCGCCCCATTGCCATCCCTAACGACGACAACAGTTTTTATTGAGCGGCGTCGAACATAGAAAGTGGAGAAGAAGGGGGAACTGATGGAAATCAAAAAGACCACTTATTTAGCGGGGATTAGTGACATCATCTTGGGGTTGGATTGTGTGGGCCTCTCCGAAAATTAACCCTGGCTGAACGTGAATAACTAAGGGATGAGTTATAGAACGTGGTGTGGTATTTGTGTACAAATTACGCATATTTTGAGATTGTGGTATTTCAAAGTTATTTGAAGTTGCAATGTGGTATTTTAATTTTATTTATCTTGTTTGGGTAAAAATGGGTTATTTGTTGGGGTATTTCCTCCGGCCACCGCCTTCCAACGCCTGAAAACATAGAACGAAGAAAAGCATGAGCGGAGGCCGTCGGCAGAAACCCTCAACTCCACATTCGACTTCTCTAAATTGTTGGACAACTTACACACCTCCTTCCTTGCCACTGAGACACAGATAATTCAATCAACCTTCTACATTCCACTTCTATAGAAACCCTCAAATTCTCCATATTCATGCAATTCCCAATTCTAGAAACACAGAATCAAAATAGCCAGCTTCCAATTCATGCAACAGATTCAATAACATACAATGGAAACCTAGCTCTAGATTGACCGGCTGCAATTTGAAGAATAAATAGAAAAAGGAATTCCAAGGCCAGACGAAGCTTCCGCTCAAAACCCGCCACCATTCGCCGTTCGTTGCAATCCACTTTCGTTCGCCGCCAAGGAATCCGCCAAGGCCAACGAAATCCACTTACTGTTTTTCGCCAACGAATCCGCCTTCATCCGCCGTTCGCCAACGAATCGCTGCTGCTTGTCGTTCTCCGTCCGTCGTTGCCGTTCTCCACCAATAAAATTCACTGATGCTGCTTCCATTCGCCGACAACGAAACCTAGGCTTTCGCCTACTCTAATTGATCTGCATGAAACAAGGAGTTCAAAGGTAGAAGAAGAATAGACCGTCCCTCGATCGATTTTGTTTTTGGGCTACAGAATGGATTATTCGAAGAGAAGAGGAAAGAACGCAGGAGAGAGAAGAGAGGGAAGGCGCAGACGGCCAGAAAAGGTGGGTCTATGCGTTATTTCGAAATAACAGCACCCCCGGTGGTATTCTAATTAACGCGTTTACGCATTATTTGAAAATAACCCGGTACACAATCACTCATCCACAAAATAAGCACCCAAACAAGTTATTTGAGCCCAAATAACTCATAGTGAGTTATTTGGACCCAAATAACTCATCAAAAACACTCATCCAAACGACTCGTAAGTTGCCACCGCGAATACTGAAAATAAAGTTGCCAACCCTACCCTAACCCATTCCAATTAAGTTAATTAGGTGTTGGTGGCAACTCTAGATAGTAGAGACAACAAGCGTTATTCAAATTAAGTCAAAAGCGAGTTTGCACGTAGAAATGTTTTGGTGATTTAGAAGCGTAAAATCGTAAATTTTTAAGTTTTAAAGCGGAGTTTTTAACTGCATAAGTTATAAAAACTGAAATTTTGTGTAAAAGCGTTTTAGTTACCCAAAAACATAAAATCATAAATTGTTAAATTTTAAAATACAATTTTAACTACATTGACTAGGAAATCCAACTAGTCTTCTGATTCCTCAACTCCAGTTGAGATTGTCATGTACACGTTCCATTATAAAAACTAAAATGTTTGCCGGTAATAAAGGGCAAACAAAAATTACCATGGAAAGCTCAAAGAATCAAAACCGCTGCTACACGCAAGCTTTCTCCTTCCCAACCAATGAATAATGGGCTGGCGAACTGGGCGGCTAATTGATTGCGACTCTGCGAATCCGTTTTCAATATTTGGGGATATCTCCAAATCGGACTGCAGAGGTTTTCTGACGGCCATTCGTCCTCAAAACGGCAACACCTTCCGCAACAATTTTCTAGCTTTGCTTTTTTCTTTTTCCTTCCCTTTTCTTTCGGTTTTCGTTTCTCTCTCAAGCGCATCAATGGAAGGTCTAGTTCCCGCGCCCTTTCACTTTCTCTCTCATTCTTTCTTTCCTTTCCCCTCTTCCCCTTAATCTCTCACTGCCATTGCTGCAGCAGCTGCCTGAGCTCTGACAGTTCTATTATCACGATCTCCGTCGGGGGAAAATTAGGTATTCAAATCCTCCCTATCCTCCTTCCGAATCTCCCGTCAATTCTTTGAAATTCCGCACAGAGAGATAGAGAGAGAGAAAGAAAGCGAGAGAGGGGGGAAATTAGAAAATTCAGGCGGCGATTTTTACGGCAGAGAGATGGTGTGGCTTCGGAGTCAGGAAGCCGATCTGCTCAGTAAGCGGTACGAGGAGTTTAAGGAGAAGCAGCCGAAGGGGGAAGGAAGCGGCCGCCGCCGCCCCCGCCGAAGGCAGAGCTCCGAGCATAGGGGCTCTTCTGCGCATGTTAAGTACAATGTAGGTTCAAGGAAGTATGGCGGTGATAGCGACGATGACGACGATGACGGCGAAGAAGACGGCAGCGTGGTGTTTGTCGGCATGGATCCGGCCGGGAGCGTTTCTGCGGCGGCGGCGACGGAGGAGGAGCAGGAGGACAGTGATGAGAACGATGTGCAGTACATGGGGAGCAACAGAGAGTCTGATTACGATCAGGGGAGATTTCCGGGAGATGTCGCGACGACGGGAGAGAGCAAGACCGGCGGCGGAGGAGGGGAAAATGTGGCTAAAAGGAATGGGGACTCCGATACTGTACAGGACGGCGATAATTGTTCGGAGGATTCTTGGGAGGAGGTGGAGACGGCGGATGCATGTTCGAGCGAGTCGGAGAGGGATGATTCTGACGATGGTGATTATGACGAGGGTTCTGTGTCTGAGGCCTCCGACGACCTAGACGAAAAATCAGAAGCTGAAGAAGAAGAAGATGAAGAAGAAGAAGAAGAAAAGGAAGAAGAAGATGATGATGTACAGATTCTTTATGTGAAAACTGTGGAGTCTAGTGCCGGTAATGGTGGAACTGAGGCTAAAATCTGCGAGGAAAGAGCTGCCTCGTTAAGCTCCAACGGAGAAGTGGGCATAGAGAAGGACGATGATGATGTAGAGATTATTGATACGGAAACTGTAGAGTCTAGTGCTGGTAATGGCGGAACTAAGGCTAAAATCTGTGAGGAAATGGCTGCGGCGTTAAGCTCCAAGGGAGAAGTGGGCATTGAGAAAGACGAGGATGATGATGTAGAGATTATTGATATGAAAACTGTAGAGTCTAGTGCTGGTAATGGCGGAACTGAGGCTAAAATCTCTGAGGAAAGAGATGCGGAGTTAAGCTCCAACGGAGAAGTGGGCATAGATAAGGATGATTATGATTATGATTTTGAGATTATTGATGCTGAAACTGCTGGGTCCAGGGCCGGTAGTGGCAGAAAAGAAGCAGGCGATGAAAAAGTTGATGAGTTGAGTTCCTACAATGAAGAAGTGGGCATGGAGGAAGCGAAACAAGGAGTAGAAGATGATGAGCAACATCACATCACTCCATCAGGAAACTCTGAAGATGAAAATGAGTTGGACCGTCTTTGGGATGAAATGGCCAATGCTCCATATGAAAACCAGGATAGTTCGGATATTCCAAAGGTATGTTGTGTGATCTTTTGCATGTTGGCGATGAGATTTATGGTTTGCTTGCTTGGTTTCTCTTGTTCAAGCTGTTCTGATTTAGATTACTTCAAGTTCTCTTGCTGCATGTCATCCCTAGATTTGTAGCGTTCAGTAAATTTAGTAGTTTTAGCGATTGATTTGGCTGAAAATCTCTTGGCTTTCTCATGGCGTCGGCAAGCTTAATTTCGTATGCAGTCGCAGTAAGCCAATTGCTAATATGAGATTCTAAAGCTTAACCTGTCTGGTAAGGAGTTGGCTTATTTATGGAGCTGGCATTGCTTCCGTTGAAAGGAACTTGGTTGGAAGTTTATGTCTACGATGCATGAATAATGCTGAGATATCACTGGTGCCATAAAGTTCTGGAAATAGAAACTGATGAACTCGTTTCTTTATTTACGATCAAAGGTCCCACAGGAAGAGAGAGGAGATGATGCCAGGAGGGAGAGAAGAGTGGGAAGATTTAAAAGGAAAGCTGAAACTGATGAAGGAAATGATGTTGGGATGGAGAGAAGAGGGAGGAAAGTTGAAAGGGTATCTGAAACTGGTGAAGGAGATGATGTTGCAAAGGAGACAAGAGGGAGGACAGTTGAAGGGGGAGTTGAAACTGATAAGAGTGGAAACGAAGATAGCCATGGAGCAGGTTGGTGGTGGGCCGGAGAAGTTACGAAAGTTCAAGATGCAGTACTTGGGTCTTCGGATCCTCCAATTTCGATAGATTTGGTGGAGCGGGAGAATAGTGATGCTGCTGAAGGATCATGCAGCAGTGATCAGGCTAAGCAAAAGAACAGTGCAGCAGAGCAAAGAAGGAATCAGCAAAGCTCGTGGCAACCCATTCGGGAACAACTTAAGGAGGTTGATGTTGTTAACATTCTTGCTCGTTCTGTACTGGGAGATGCAGAGTTACCGGTTGAGGATGATGAGGCAGAGGAACCACCAGCCGAGGAGCAGCAACAATGTGTTGTTCGGAAGATCAGTCAAGATGAACAGCCAGCTCCACCAGAGAAATCGGAGGAGGAAAAAGAACTAGACAGTCTTTGGGATGAAATGGCCTTAGCTCAATATGAAAATGAGGATTGTCCCCGTGTTTCAGAGGTATGTTGTGGTCTGCATGTGGATGATGAGATTTTGGTTTGTTTGCCTTCTCTAACTCAACTTATTTTTTATTACACTCAATTTTTTCTTTTGTGGTTCTTTTTATTTTTATACATTCTGGATACGTGGTTTTGTGAATTAATCAGCATGAGGAATGAAAAGGCTCCTATGTAGTTTGCATGAGTGACAAATGTACTTTAGTTCTCTTGCTGCATGCCATCCCTGGATTTCTGAAGCTAGTGGGTTTCATCTAGTCATTGTTTAACATCTGAGGCTTTTAAATGATCTCAAGCCCGTTCAGTATCCTACTGCTAAGAAAGATTCGAAAGCTTAAACTTGTCTGGTTTGTGTCCTTGGCTCCTTGTGTCCCTTGCTAGGCAGTTACGCCTACGATGTATGGATTGGTGCAAAGATATAACTGTGCCTGAGTGAAAAATGTATTTTTCTTTATACTAATGGACATGATCGTTTTGTTTGATCAAAGGCCCCAGAGCAAGTTGATGTTTCTTCCCCAGGCGTTAAAGCGGATCCTTTCACACTTTGTAGGCAAGGCAAGCATCAGTTAGTAGTCGATGATGAAATTGGTCTCCTGTGTAGATACTGCTCTTTTGTGCAAGTGGAGATAAGATATCTTGTAGCACCTTTTGTAAGTCCCGTTGCCACTACTGCTTTTCTTCACTCTTTTTCATGAACTTATGATTATACTTTTTGGGCTGATTACCCCTCTCCCTCACCTTATGCCATTTGTTTTGGCAGGCCGAAAAGTATTACCGAACAGTGAACAGAGGAACTTCCAACAAAGGGGAGAAAGAAATACCCGATGGACCTGCTGACTGTGATTCCGATGCTCGATTGGATCATAGTCGCCAGTGCATGCTCGATGAGGGTACAGTCTGGGACATCATTCCTTGGATTCGGAAAGGGTTGCATAAGCATCAGCGAGACGGTTTCGAGTTTCTGTGGAGAAACATAGGAGGAGATATCCGTCTGAACAAGTTGAAAGAAGCAGAGTGTTCAGGTGGATTGAGTGGATGTGTAATATCACATGCTCCGGGGACAGGAAAGACCCGACTCACCATAAGATTCCTGCAGACTTACATGAAAAAGTACCCGAAATGCAGGCCGATGATCATTGTTCCTTGTAGCATGCTACTGCCTTGGGAAGCTGAATTCAAAAGCTTGGAAGTACCCGAACCTCGTCACAACTTGAATGATCTCAAATTAACGGGCAAGGAGAGTGTCGTGGCTACCGATCTTTTGAAGGATATCAGGGATGCTCAAGCTGTCCGCTGGGTGAAGCTATACTCGTGGCAGAGAGAAACTGGAATTTTGTTGCTAAGCTACACTCTCTTTGAGGAACTTGTTGGGAAAGGCATGAGAAAGAAGAGGAAGAATCAAGGTGATGACAGCAGCCCAAGCAAAGCAAAGGGTAAGCCTGTAGATGAAAGAATTAGGCAAGTGCTTCTTGAAGTTCCTGGTTTGATGGTCCTTGACGAAGGACATACAGCACGAAACGAAAGTAGCCTTCTGTGGAGAGCTTTGTCCAAAGTGAAAACCGGGAAGCGGGTTATTCTCTCTGGAACTCCATTTCAGAACAACTTCGAAGAGTTCTTCAATACACTCTGGTTGGCGAGGCCCAACTTCCTAGATAGCATATCAACCTTCAAATGGGTGAGTGAAAAGGACAGGAAGCGCGGTCGTGAGTTAACTGAAGCCAGGAAAAAATGGCAAACGATGACCAAACATCTTCACAAAAGCACCAATGATGGGGTTAAGGACAAACAGTGGAAAGACCTTAGGGCTCTGATCAATCCTTTTGTCCATGTCTACAATGGTGGTATACTGCAAGAGAAACTACCTGGCTTAAGAACCTCCGTTGTGATCTTAAACCCAGCTGATCTTCAGAAACGCCTTCTCACCAGAGTTCAAACAATTACTCAGAAGCTCGAATCGGAACAAGAGAGGAAGAATGAAGGAACAACAGAGAGGAAAGATCCGTCCCAGTATTTCCAAAAGGAACATGCGCTTTCTGTAGCTTCGGTGCACCCTTATCTGCTCAAGAACTGCAGTGGAGTGTTCCAAGTAGCAGCACTCGCTGATGCTGATGAGCTGACAAGGAGCAAGCTGGATCCTGATGCTGGAGTCAAAACCAAGTTCCTCATGGAGCTCATCAAGATCAGTGGGATGATCAACGAGAAAGTCCTGGTCTTCAGTCAATACCTTGATCCATTGAGAATGATAGCTGAGCAGCTCAATGCCCGGTTCGAGTGGACACCAGACAAAGATTTCCTGTACATGCATGGAGGGCTGGATGTGAATCAGCGTCAGTCTGTGATGAAGAAATTCAACGATCCCAGCACCGATGCTAAGGTGTTTCTTGCATCGACAAAGGCATGTTCTGAAGGGATCAGTTTAATTGGTGCTTCGAGGGTGGTATTGCTGGATGTCGTGTGGAATCCTTCTGTCACAAGGCAGGCCATCAGCAGGGCTTACAGGCTAGGGCAAACCAAAGTGGTTCATGTCTATAATCTGATCACTTCTGGCGCAATTGAAGAGCAGAAGTACTCTCGCCAACTCAGGAAGGATAAACTGTCCGACTTGGTTCTTTATTCTGCAGAAGGTGCTGATTCTTGCAGGAGGGAATCGTCGAGACATTTGTCCGAGGATGAAAAGGATAGAGTTCTGGAGAAGATGCTCGATCTTGTCAACCTCAAGGATATGTTCAAGAATGTCATTTATCAGCCCAAAGAGGATCTGGCATATAACTAGCTAGATCATGAAATCATGTTCCATCTGCTACTGCTGCTGCTACTTTTGGTATATGGATTACTCTTTGATCAACCCTTTTGTGAAAATCTCTCGATGGTCTCCCAAAGGTGTAGTCTTTTTAGGTTTAGGTGTAAATGACTAGAGATATTTAGATATGAACAGTGCCTGGAAGCCATATTTAGTTGCTCCATTTTGGTTTTTTGGTGGCTGTAGTCGTCACTTCAGAGCTACTGAATTAAGATGGTCCAGAAGCTAACTGGTTAAATTGTGCAGAGTTTCCACATAGTTATGCTTGGTAAAAGTGTTGCAGCAGGGAGAACATAGTACATCAGACTTATTATAAAATATATAATATTATTACTTCTGATATTGAGCTTTGATTCAGTCACCTGTCTGGTATTGTTACAATGATATATTGATGATTGATCCTTGTAAAATCATTGTCTAGGTTAGGGGTGTGCAATGGTCCGGTTCGAGACCGGTTCGTACCAGACCAAACCAAAGTTTGGACCGGATTGCACCGAACTAAGTATAATGCGGTTTGATCATTGGTGCACATGGATTTTATAATTACTGAAGAAAAGAAGGACCGAACTGATATTTCGACCGGACCAAATTGACCCAACGAAATGATGGTCCGGTCCTGGGTCCTAAGATTTATTTCACTAATGGATCGTGGTTCTCATGAATTTGATCTGGACCGAACTGTTGCACCCCTAGTCTAGATTGTTTTCAAAATGAAAAAATAAATTTCGGTCCAATTTTTAAGTCCAAGTTCGTTCCTGCCCCGAGTTAATCAAGTCCACCACATGCCTCTTTTCAACTTGACCTGCATTTTCGTATCATTCTTGATGTGACCGTATTAGATGTTCGATCAGAAAGTCGACTCCCAAAGCTCAAGCTGGTAGGTAGTTTTGTCATATATGAAATGAATAAACAACGATTTAATCACAAAATATTCTACCATTGACTTTTCATGTACAACCTATAGTACAATTTTACAAAACATTGCTCTCTCAGCATTACCGACCAAGACTAACGATGTCTTCGGATAACAAAACTTATCCTGGCTCAATCGACACACTGATATATACTGCTTTGGACAAATCTACCATGGTTAGAGTGAAAAAGTTCAGAAAGCCAAACTGACCACCGAAACTATCACTGTGCTGAATGAACACAACTCAAATGAGTTTCACGATTTCTCTGCTATGTTGGAATCAGACATCAAAATGGCTGAAGTTATATAGGCTTCCTCCTCTTGCTCTTATCTATACTCTTTCGGGAGACGATATCCTGGGATGACTAATTTGTCAGCAAACATCATGCCAGCCTTGGGCATGACATGCCAATGCAATGTCAGGTTTAAATCCTTACCCCTGAGATTGCTTCCCTGCACAAGGAAGAAAGGGTTATCAGTTCAAAAACTCAGACCAAACACCAAAGCGTGAAACTTCCTAGGCTTTTCGTTACCTGATCGATGAATCGATACTTGTTTACCGTCTGAACCCGGAACTTTGACTGCTCTTTGGCTGGGATAATTGCATCCCAAAGTGACACCTATTTGCATTAACAGCGAGTCGAAGGTGAGCAAATCTTGATACAAATAACTAACTAAGGAAAGCTAGGCCTGTCTTGAATGTTCTGTAAACAATGGTACCTGATTCACCGCGTTCTTTGGAGTTTTATATTCTGCAGCTACGAATACGAATACCTGACACCAAAAGACCACAAATCTTTCAGGGGGGGCTATATGTCTTAGCAAATCAAGCTCTGTTCTGCAATCTAAATGAGTTTCAGACACAACAAGCCAGCAACTAAAAGGCAATCATTCAACATAACTCTGTCTCCTTTCCTCAGTTCATAAAGTCACAAAGTTTTGCTTTACAAACAAAATGCCAGCCAATCAACCATGATACAAACAGAATCGAGAAGGTGTATAGATTAGGAGACAAACCTGCTTCGTATTCCACGTGAAGAGTGATTGCAGATCTGCTGTTATATTCATCGCGAGGCTCACCTATATGACAGAAAAAGCCCCAATCAGACCCTAGTAAAAGAAATTGCAGAAGAAATGCAGATCACCCTGTGAAAAATACACAGTAAAGCATCTGATACAGCAGAAGTTTCCCCCAATTAATAGATGAAAGTAAGCTATTTCTACCCAATTCACAATCCTAGTCAAACAAGGATTAGAGTAAAAGCCACAGCTTTACTAAACGGGTAAAGGGGAATTCTCCACAAGCATTCTTCTCGACTAACAAGACTACAACAGAATTGAGCAATTAACATGCCTAGTTCGTTACGATCCAGCTTAGTCATAACCCCATGAATGAATAGCCCAAATCGACTTACCTCCTCGTTTCCATTACGCTGTTTCTGAAACCAGTTGATGTTCGTTATCTACAGAAACAACAGAAGGGATCATGAAAACCTAAATTTCAGAACATAACAAGCTAGGGTTTTTCCGAATTAGGGGAAAACAGATTCAGAGAGCGTAGAAGCAGAGAGCAAAAGAGCTGCCAGCCGACCTGGATTTGGGCGGAAGGGGAGGGAGAATTGAAGCAGTCGGAGACGCTAGCCATGGCGCACGTGAATGCGAGGATGATGACGGAGAAGGTCAGTACGGCATTGGCTCGGAGCCAGAAGGAATGCATATTTGGAGATCGAAGAGGTTGTATTACTGTATGCCACAGTTCAAGCATTAACGTAGAACAAAAATCTACGTTTACTTCTAGTCTTCTACTCCTAAATCTCCTACGAAAATACAATATTCTGAGTTTTTATTCGCTTCATGAAAACTAAAATACAACGTACAAATTTATAACCATATTCAGAAATCTTAATTACTTTACTAATTCAACAAGGACTGAAAAACTTACCCCTTAAAAAAACTAAGGAGAACTTAAATAATTAATATGACTCCTAAACTAAAACTGATAATAATTGATTAAGGAGTCATTTGGAACCTTTGATTCTGAAAATAATGTATTACGAGAATGTGGTATTAAAGATTATGTGTATACTTAGAATGTGTGGTTTTAAAAATTCATTGTTTGGAACCCATAAAAGAATGCATGAATTATAAAAAAAATTTCCAAGTAATATCATGAATTATAGTTTAAATGAGCTATGGATACTAATATCTCACAAAAAAGGTAAGACTATGATCTATGAATAGATCATTTTCTATGTATTAGTAATACAACATGAATTATGAATACATGCATTCTGTTATTGCATCAAAGGGCTCGTTTGCGTCGTGGATTTGAAAAATGAAGGTTTAGGACCTTTTGGTATAACTTGGATTTTGAAAAATCATGGATATATGAGGGTTTTAGGTTCATTATGGACAAGGTTGTCAAACCGCGGGTTGACCCGGACCCGGACGAGCTAGCGGGTCATGGGTCAATGGGTCACCCGTTTTAGCCCGGTTTAGTCCGGCTTAGCCCGGAAATATGAAAAGAGCCAATATATTCTATTTATCCTGAATCAAACATAAAAAATGCAACACTACTTCAACTACAACATTAGAACAAAAAATTTAAAATTAATTTGACAAGAAATAGGAACAGTATATCTGATTTCCTAGAGAGATCCCCTCTACATTGCCATGATGATAAATTTAATATTAATTAAGTTCGCAAGCATCAAGATGGCTAGCTGCTGTATAGACACAAACTAATGACAACATTTTTCTCCACATAAAAAAGAGTGGATACCATTATAAAAGAAGAAAACTGATGTATGTGAAACCCTTACCAAATGACAAATGAGTTTGTGGCTTGTGCAGAGACGACCGGGCAGAGGCGGAGCTGAGGTGGCCAGGCAGAGGAGGCCGAGCAGAGGCCGAGCAGAGGCGGATCTGAAGGGAGGAGAGGGAGCGGTGAAGGCGGACCTGTTCTTCCGCCGGCGACCGCGACCGCGCCGCCAAATTCACCCTGGAGATGGCGATCGGTTGGACACGGCTGCGCTGCAGCCTGCGGGAAATATGAAATGGTGTCTCTAGGGTTTCGCTGCAGGGAGAAGAAGAAGAAGTGAACCCTGAACCCTCCTCGCCTTGGCCCAGCGCACCGTCTCGTTTATTCCAAGCAAAAACGGCGCCACAGCGGCCAAAACGGGGCTCAGGAGGAGCAACCCGCTGACCCGTTCCAACGGGCTAACCGGCCGGGCCAATCCGGGTTTGACCGGGTTTATTCGGGTTTGACCATTTCCGGGCTGATAGTAAAAAGGGTTGGTATGACCCGTTTTTTTGGCCGGGTCCGGGTTAATCCGGGTTGACCCGCGGGTTAACAACCTTGATTATGGATTTGATAAACACCATTGTTTGTTTGATGGATTTCATAATGGATTTTGTTAATTAAATTTGTATATATGAAGTGTAATTGACCTTTATTGCCCTCAATGATATAAAAAGAGAAAGCAAATATGAAGAGTAAAGCAAATAAAAAATGATGGACTTCAAAGTCCATAATCAATTCCTACTTAAATAGGTGGAACTTTCAAGTCCGTAGGGTCCACGAATTTGGTACTTTAAAGTTCGTGGGACCCACAGATTTATTCCTCTAAATGCATGAAGCAAACAATGGATTTTGGACAAAGTCCATGATGGATTGAAATCCCTCACCAAATCCATCAAGCAAACAAGCCCAAGTAAAAAAACATTGTATTCTCAAGATACATATATATTGAAAATATAACATCTGTAATCGGAGGTTCCAAACGAGCCCTAAAGATAAACGCAAATACGATAGAATTCCGCCTCGTATCTATCAGATTCAACCGGAATTTCCGAGACAGTGGCGGCCGCCGATGCCGATGGGATCAAGGCAGATTTAGCAAGTCCGATTGGGAGGAACGTTTGAGACGGGAAAGGAGCGTGAGGATCTTTGGCGGCATGCTAACGTGTCCCTATTTCATTGGTAGTCATTCTGTTGTTTGCTTTGTGGATTTGGGTTGCAAATCCAATTCATTTATGAATTTGTCCTAGGGTTCATTGTTTGCTAGCCAATTATTGAAGTTTTTCGATGGAATTCATTAGGGGTGATAAACGGTTAGTCGGTTATCGGTTTTAACCGATAACCGAACCGATAATGTCGGTTAGTGGTTAACCGATAACCGCTACTTCTTTATTGATTTCGGTTTCGGTTAGTAGTATTTTGGTTAGTGGTTAACCGCTAACCGATTAATCGGTTAGCGGTTAACCGATAAGAAAACCGATAACCGCCTACTAGTGTGACTACATGGTTTTTTACTTTGGCTAAGGGAAAAAGTTGTAAGATTCAAAACCAATCAAAGTTGCAATTCCAAACATCCCAATTCTCACCTATTGCAAACAACCCTCCATCAAGAGTCTCAAATGTTTTTAAGAGTTAGAACTCGAAAGTCACCCCTCTCTAAATCCCCTTTGCACTCAATAGAGTGAACCTTAGGTTGATGACTATGGGCTAGATGAAGATCTTGGAGTAAATGATGACTATGGGCTAGATGAATTGGAGCGAGATCCTCGGATCATTTAGGTTGATGATTTGGAGATAATGAACTTGTTATTTGTGTCTTGTTGTGATTGTGACTTGTGGTTAGACTTTATGTTGTGGAGTTGTGGTTGAATTGTGTGGTTGCTTTAGGCTTTATGCTCAATTGATTTAGATGACTTTATGGTGTGTGATTATAGAGGCTGAAACAAAAGCAGGTCACTCAAAATTGAGGGTGAATCATTAAAAAATGTGGTTGAAATTCGGTTTTGGGTGGTCGGTTTCTGAACGAAAACCGAGAAAGTGAACCAGAAACTGCGGTTTCGGTTAACCGCAAGGAAAAACCGAAACCGATGTTTGCGGTTTTCGGTTAACCGAAGTCTCTGTCGGTTTCGGTTTCGGTTAGTGATATTGGGACAATTTTGGTTGCGGTTAACCGATATTTCGGTGCGGTTAAACCGAAACCGCACCGACTAACACCCCTAGAATTCATATGATATCCAAATTCGTGCATCCCGGACTTGCAAATTTCATGGTTGGAGATGAAATTTTAGTGAGAGCTAAAATCTTTCATATCCAACAAAATTTTTTAATGAAATTCAATAAGAAAATAATGGACTCTTTTTAAATCATGATGCCAACAAATTCAACATATATCTAAGATTTTCCAAAACTACATATTTTACTAAAATCCTTGATTATCAAATTCACGAAATAAACAACCCCAAATCTGGTTGCTTTAACAAACAAGTATCATTACTATATTTTGTTGCCATATATAATGTTGTACTATATATCTAGTCCGTACATTAAAATTTTCTAGCAACAGTTTTTTTATTATGAGATGATCCATTCCTTGTACACTAGCAAGTAGCAAGAATGTCATAACTCATATGTCACATGTATTATAGAAATCCTGATCGTGCAACTGAATTCAACTCTTAAATCCATTTCCTATTCTCTTCATGAGTTTTTCTATTCTTTTTACTATTGAGATGATCCATTTCTTTTGTCATCTCATTTTGAGGCTTTCCTTTTTCTTTACAGCCTGTTTGGAAAGCAATAAATTTTAAGAAATGGAATTCCATTTTCTAAAATGAAATGAATTCTCATATTTGGAACACTTTTTTTATGAGAAATGGAAATCATTTCCTACAAAATTGTGGAAATATATTTCCAATCAAAACTGGTCGGAATTGGTTTATTTTTCATTGGAATTGGTGGGGCCCATTGCTACTTTAACTAGTAATCTCCATTCTAGCCTTGTATTCCTCTGCATTACTTTTTTCTTTTGTCAATCTCCTCTCCACACGTTGCATAACAATTTAGACTTTTGATTTCATGATTTTTTTTGTCCAGATCTAGAAGCTATGAGCGCTTCATCACTCATTTCTTTTAGAAATTTTGTTTTGCATCAATCTCTTTCCATTTGTTTGTGGTTATATTAATAGATTATAGGGACACAATAGTAAAAGTATGTATAAGAATTCATTTCCATCTTCTTCCAACACAAAAACTAGATATGATTTCCCAAATTTTAGGATTTATTCCAAACAAAAATTATGAAAAGGAATTCGTACATGAATTCTAATTCTCATAGGAAATGGAATTCTATTCCTATAGGAATTGATTCCAAACAGGCTGTTAGTCTCAAGAAGCACGGCTTTGGTGGTTTGGATGCTGGTTGGTGTTGCCCAGTAGTGTTATGATGAACCCGATATTCTGATCGGTCTAGCAGTATATTATTGTTAGCCAAGTGAAAATTGGGATAATTCAACCTATCTCTTAATATGATCATCATTAAATTGTCAATGTAAATTTTGATAAATTTCGTGTACCTTCGTTATAACACTCAGATAAATTAAATCACGAAACAAAGATAAGTTGTATACATTCCTTGATATAGAGTACACATAATATGACGAATATTAATACCAATATATCGATCATTTGAGCATGCCCAAATTTCTTAGTGTCACTCCATCGAGAGGCCCATAGATGTGTCTCCTTTACAACTCGAAGTAACGAATTTGATCTATGTCTATGCAAGACTATATACATAATAGAGTTATGCAACCAATAACCACTACGACTCACCCTATTATAAAAGACGCGATTAGATCAATCGTATCAAAACACGCAAAACCACCAGATAATAGTTTTAATAAGGGTTAGTATCTTTCTATGGCCCGAACTTTATCCTTATTGAACATCCTGACCAATCTTTTTACTAATTAACATAGTGATCCAAATTATTACCAAAATTTACTTATCTAGTATAACACGAGTCCCACAATTAACAACTTGACATGCCGCGCTCGTCCCAGAATACCACAATACCGCCCGAACTTCTATCTCAATTCTTGGCAATCCACCCTCCATATCTGAAGCTACTGACGCTTGATACAAGCTCACTTGTACTTCTTTAGCCCCCGTGTCATAAACCATCTGATCTCAATAACTCGAGTTGTTGAGAGATGCCCATTAGTAATTAGTAAAGCAAGTCTGAAACTTTTGAATAGTAGTTGGTTGGATTTAATTAGTTCAAGAACCTATACAATAAACTAAACTATATATAAAATTCCTAGACTACTTACACTTCTTCTTTGCCTTCCATTCTCTGTATTGGATCGATCGGGAGCGCGCTTTACAGTCAATTGCTTGTATTGGACGTAAAATATTGATCACACACCTACTAAGTAACAATTTAGCAACTACCAATACCGACTTTTTAATCACTAGACAACACACTAACTTCCAATACTTAGCTTCCCATTTAATTTCATTCCAACTTAAACTTAAATTGTGTGTTGGTCGTCGTCACCTGATGGTTACACTGTGGAGAAATGGTGACAGGAACGTGTACATGTATATAATAGCTAGAGAGAGGAAGCTTTTGCTAGTTTGAAAATGGGGTGACATGTTTGACTTTGACAATGATCCTATCATAGTTGTATTTGGTTGTTTCCCCCCACAAAGGTCAAAGGCTTGTTTTTAGGGTTTCACGACAACACAACTTTTTTTTTTTTTTTTTTTTTATAAACACGACAACACAACTTGGGAATAGAATAGGGAACCCTACTTTCCTTCGATTTCTTGTGTATTTGGGTCTTCTCATTTATTCCCCAAACGAAATAATTAACTACCTAATATCTCTAAATAAGTCGCCAAAGCTATTATTATTTTTAGGGTTTTGTTAGGAGAGGTTGAATAGGTGCCAATGTACTAAAGTTAGTGTTGTCGGATCGCGTTATAACGTTGCGATCTTACATATGCGATGAAGTTATTTCGATCTCGAAATTGTTACCACCCATAATATATCATTCACATTATGTGCAAAGTGAAAACTGTGATCTAACGATATTGACATAGACGGGTGCTACGTACCTCTTTCATTCTCCTATCAGAATTTCATCTTCTTATAGGGTATCGTTGGATCGAGGTAATATCCATGATGAATTTCATTAATTTGAGGTGATTGACGTATCCAAAATAGATTCAATAATGTCATATATTTTAACTCAATATATATATATATATATATTGTAGGGTTGGTTTGAGCTAATTCCATCGACCGGTTCTTATCATAGATATCTATAAATCTTTATCCAGAAAATTGTAGCTTACGATAGATTATGGTCCTTTGCTCAAGCAATTGATCAACATCATACATGTATCCCATCGTGATTAACGTTTTAAATTATCATTTTGTGTGGAGGAGCACTCATGAAACACAAGGCTGGGGGGATGAGGAATATCTGTACGTGTCAACTCCGGTTCATCAAATTACTCGAGTTTAGATAAAAATGTTCAACATGTATATTTAGTTATTTACACATTCAAACGGTATATTCATATATATTGTGCGTGAATCAACAATTAATACTATGGGATCGTAAAGGTTCGAATACGAGATCTATAGATTAAAGTCAGTAACTACTAACTTGTGCGTGATAGACAATTAACACTACGGAATCGTTAAGGTTAGAATACGAGACTATAGATCAAATTCAGTAGCTCTGTGATACTAAGTACATTAATGACTCGTTTATCGAGTATATAACACGAGTTATTGAGAAAAGCTCAAGAATAAAACTTAATTATATTACTCTACGACAGTACAACTTTGATTTTCACGAGACATTATTCCTTTGATTATCCATAACAAACCATGTATATGGTTTACAGTTCAGACCGAGAGACTGGAGCAAAGACTAGGGACTATATTAAATGTGATACAGTCCATATCAGACCATGCTTGTATGGTCTGGTCTGGACCAGCCATACCGTGTTGATCGAGGGGACTGTTAAATCCAATTGGAAGTGAGTTGTGTCGACGGTCTGGTATGATAAATCACGGTATACTAAGAAATCAAAACATCTAACATAGACCATAAACCAAACCATTTTTAATGATGTACAGTCAAAACCAAATTGTATGGTATACGAGTTGGCCCATTATTTTTCTAACGATTTGATCTGTTTTCTCATCTTACTGTCAACCAACAGGAAGTGAAGGAATATAAGAAATAATTTCATATATATATAGACTGGTATACAAATTATTCAACTCTTACAATTGAAGACAAATTGCAACACTAAACAATCGTTTCTGCTTCTTTTCCTATGTGTGTCGAACGAATAATCTAATTGGTACCAATCGTTCGACCTTAATTATATATATCAATTCCTATACAGATATATAATAATTCAATCAAGCAAATCCTCTCCCTATAACCTAAAGAAATAGATATGAAAATGGAACTATAATTAATAAATGAACAAATAAAATACTAGCTATAGCTAGCTAGTTGCAGCCGAGACTCTCATATTGTAAAAGCTTTCGAATGCTAGCCAGGCACATCATCCACTGAGAGTAGGTGATGCTGATAAACTGCAAAACAACAAGAAAGCATTTAATTTCTAGTTATAATTTAACAAAAATGAATTGAAAATGACATGCAAAGAAAAGGGGACATTGTTAAAATTTACCAAATGAATGTAACAAAGTTCTCGTTATAATGTAACAAATATGCAAATTTTAATGACCTAATGTGAATCGAGATAGATTTTCATCAACTCATTCACGCAAATCAGAAATTACCCAAAGAATTCAAACTTTTTTTTATCTAAAACCTACCTAACATTTAACAAGGTGATGATATAAAAAGAAGAATTACAAACATACCTACTCCAATACAAGATCGTCATCTTTCCAAGACGAGAAGAAACCGCTGTCGCCAAAGGTCGGGACGAAGTCGTCATCCATCAGCAACATCTTCTCCCAAGCTTCATACTGATTGTCATCCACATCCGCCGCCGTCCCCGGAGAGCTAAACGCCGTCGTCCCGTCGGAAAAGTTGGAAGAATTATTGCTTAGGTGTGGGTAATTATTATTATTGTTCCCCGCCTCCATCACACCGTCTACACCACCATTAACGTTGTTGTTATGATGCACAAGAGACGTCGACGATGACGCCTCCGGCGAAGCCTCCGCCGAAACCAGCCCCGGCAGAGCAGACTCCCTTGCGGTCGCCAAAGCCCCGTTGTTGTTGTTGTTGACCATTAGCGACGACCCTCTACCCGTCGCCAAAGCTGGTAACGTGTTAAGAAACTGGTTGCAAAAAAGTTCCTGCTGTTGAACTGCTCCAGCTCCAGCAGGGTTCAAGAGTCTAGCCAATAGTAGCTCTTCCTGCGACGACATAATCTGCTGCTGCTGTTGTTGTTGGGCCAGGAAAGTTGAAGCCGCTGAGGTGGTTGCCGGGTTCAAAAGATGTAGCAACGGAATTATACTATTAGCGACGGAATTATTATTATTATTATTGTTGTTGCTATTTCCGATGATGCCGTTGTTGTTGAGCATCATGATGCTGTTGAGCTGCTGAGCCGCCCCGATCAGCTGGGTGAGGTTGATGATCTGAGCGATCTGGCTGTGGTCGGTCCTCGGCTTGTGGGTCTGCGGGTCGATCCCCATCTGGAGCAGCTTCTTCCTGATGTGCGTGTTGTAGTAGTTCTTGATCTCGTTGTCCGTCCTCCCTGACAGGTGCGTCGCTATTCTCGACCATCTATAGCAACGAGAAAGGAAGGAAAAGAAAAACGAACTTCCACGTATTAATAAATAAAAATTTCGAACGATGAGATCATCTGGGTTCTGTTTTCGGTGTACTCACTTGTTGCCGAGGACGGAGTGGAGGTTGATGATGAGCCTCTCCTCTTCCTCGGAGAACTTGCCGCGCTTGATGTCGGGGCGGAGGTAGTTGGTCCAGCGGAGGCGGCAGCTCTTGCCGCAGCGGTTGAGACCCGCCAGCTTGGGGAGCGACTTCCAGTTGGTGTGGCCCTTGTTGGTGATGTAGTCGACGAGCTTGGCGTCTTCTTCGGCAGTCCAGGGGCCTTTCTTCACCTTCTCGTCGTCTTCGCTGCCGCAGCAAGGTGGCCTCACCATTGTTGGGGGAAGTCGGCAACTGGATTAGCGAATCGAGAGGGTGATTAGTGGGGGGGAGCTAGCAGGGTTTTTGTTTTGGGTGTTGGCGTGAAGGTAGCTAATGATAACTAAAATTAACTTAATTGTGATTTGGGGTTGATGAACAAAGTGTGTTGGGTAATGGCGTGTTTATATAGAGGCTTGACTCTTGGATGGGGATAGTTCGGTTTCCCTTTTGCATGGGAAACGTAACGCAAACGATAAGGGGGCCGTGTGTGAGTTTTTTTTTTAATAAATCTTCTCGCTTTCAACGGTTGAATTTTTTTATTTTTATTTTTTTTTACTGTGGATTAATCCACCCGTTGAATTAAGAAGATGAAGTTAAGATCGATGGTTTTTAGGTATTTAGACACATGTCAATGTACCCCTATCTAAGTGGTCTCAAGTGCTAATGTTGTTGATTTTTTACGAGGGTGATAATAGATTTAGGTTTTTAATTAGATGTAATTTAACGAATTTGAATATAGTACCTCCGGGTTTAAGAGTTGTGGTATTTATCACTAGACCAATTTCTTGTTCGCATGTGTTAATATCGTGGGTTGGGTTGAACTAGTTGCTAGCCCAGACTTTACCACGTACGGAATAGGGTACATTTGAGAGGACTAAATTTCTTACCGGTTATTTAAATGATGAATTGTGTTTGAAAATTATCAAGTTGTAGCTCGAACCGACATTTTTATAAAACTGATGATTGATTTTGACTTCAATAGAATTAAATTTTCACATCAAAACTAAAAAGTGAAAATGTGTAAGTGAACGGAATAAAATACATTATTGAAGCTCTAACAATAACTAGTTATAGATTAAGGCTCAAGACAGATTGATTCTCGATAACGGTATTATTAGAATATGTGATTGTTGATGAAACTTATGTGTCTAAATGCATTTATATATGTACCCTACCTATGCTAATATTAATTTTTTTTTATAAAGGCGATCGATGCTACTCAAGGGTATATGGATATGTACGTACATATTTCAAACCCAGCTGGTGAAATTTCTATGTGGTAATGACCGCACTTTTGAAATATACCGTACTCCAGTAATATATCATACTTCAAGTGATTTATCCGTTTGTTTGTGAAACTCGTAATTAGACACTTCTCTCACAACATTTCTAATTACTACAATGAGTCAGTTCGCGCAACAGCCTAGTGACCTAGCTAATTACCTTTGTAAATTTTTCAATCTCAATCAAAATTATCCTTAATTAGTAATCGAGTGGACCCATAAAATCAGTATGATCTATCGTAAGACCACCCATATATTTACACAATCACATCTTTTCTATTCGAAATCCATCAATTTCAACCATCCAAATCACAACTTCTAAAGTCTTCATTGAATCCATATCCATTTCAACAACTGCAAAATATATTCTGTTTAGTTGAAGGGGGGAAGCTATAGCTAGCTTACGAAATGAAGGCAAGTGAGGGGGAAGTAGCGCAAGGCTGCAGCCTCTTCTTTAATTTAGTAAAGGGGAGTAGGTAATGTTGCTAATGTCATATGGGAAGAAGAACAAGGAATTAAGAACAAATTAAATGAATATATTTTTATAAATATAGAAAAAGGTTTCACAAATTGCAAGACGTTTACAAGAAGGCATCGACCATTGTTTTTTTTTTTTTCTCATGAAAAAGATTGGATGTGAGAAAGAAGTTTCCCATAATGCAATAAACCCGTCCAGACAAGATATTTAATTATCTATTTGATTGTTTTTTACTATTATTTTAATGGATTTTGTTTTCTATAATTAGGAGAAGAGATTAGAATTAACCCAATAAGTTCCATGAAAGTGGTAGGCCAAGCTCGCGGGAAGGAGCCGGGAAATGGAAAGAAAATGATGAACTAATAATTTTTTAGCGGTATAAAACGTTTGGTTAACAATTAAAGTATAAAAAATACTCTATCATTAGTCTTTGGATAAAATTACCCAAATAAAAAAAATCTGTTTACTCCTAAATCTCGTCATCCGCCACTACTATCAAATGGATTCCTGCTTTCTTAAGTTTGTGAATAATAATAATGATTAATATAAAAAATTTAATACTTGATCTTTGTTTTAAAATCACATGCCACAAACATTTTAAAGTGTAGTCTCAAATGCCCTAGGTAAATCTTCAATTTTGATTCGAAGATTCAAGCAAGCCTTTGTATGGTCAACGTTATATTCTCATATTATCAGTAAACCCAAGTTTTAAGGTTATCAACTTTGATTTCATAGTAGCACAACAAATAATTAAAATGCAAGAATCTCGACTAGAAAAAATCATAATTAATTTCACCTAATTCATAACAAGTTTTACTGGATCATGTTTCAGTATATACCCGCACTAAATAAACTTCACATTGATTGTTCGATACAGGTAATTAGTTCAAAGAGTAAATCTAATCGTGAACCAAATGGTTACCCATCCCTAAATGTTGCTAATTTTATCATTCAATGATATAAGCTATTAAAATCATATATATTATTGTATTCTTTGTATTCAAACCCTCGAAACCACCATATATATAGTTCTCCAATTCGTGAAAATAAGTAAAATAACATTAATATACTCCAGGGTGACATGTGTATGATGTAGATATGGAAAAGATCTGGAGTATTTGTCTATCTGCATGCATTTGGAAACCAATGATAGGAGCTATAAGCTTGAATAGGATTAATAACAAAAGTGAGCCTCATCCATGGATTTGGACATAAAACATCAAGATCATAAGTTTGAAAAGATCAGCTTAGTAAGTCTAGGCGCCAAAGCATGGTATACCTTTTTTCAACATCAAAAGACTATAAATATACATGGCCTCCTATCGTACTAAATTTAGGGTACCTCATGGTAACAAACGGGTATTTAGATCTCGAATTAACCGAATTTTGAGACATGACACTTACTACACCATGTCAAATTATAGGTTCTAAACACTAAAATGCTGCGTATAGTTTGTTGGAAGTATCTCGATAAATCATTACCGTCAATTATTGTTTGATTTGTTTCTAATTAAATTGATTTTAGTGTATGAGGTTCACAGAATTAAGACCTCTATTTTAATTTTAAGAGTTAGAGTATAATACGTCTCAAACTCTAATCAATTCAAGGTCTATATATATATATATATATATATCATTTTCTTATTCAGAGTATGCTATACATTTGATTTTACTACGAGCACTTCTACTATGCTATATAGCATCGGTGCTTTAATGTAAAACTTAAAGTTGTACCATAACATTAAATGTATAAGTTTAGGTTGTACCATGCAGAAATTTGTATCATTATATTATGGTACAACTTTACAACTTGAAGTTGTACCATCAAATAAAAGTACAAGTTCAAGTTGTACCATAAAAGAATTTGTACAAAATATATAGGTACAATCTGAAGTTGTACCATAACGTTAAAAGTACAATTTCATATTGTACCATAAAAGGGAGAAAAAAACTATAGCACAAATACTGTATAGCATTGTAAAATTTCTCTTTTACTACTCAAAGTACGATAGGACCATCTACATGTACCTTATTTAATTTGGTATTCATAAAAAAGAAATCCACCATTATCTTGGTACTTGCATGTTTTGCTCATAAGTTATATCAGGGGGTTCAATTTTCTTACTGTTATTGAAGAGTTATGCATATTACTTAGAAGTTGCAAGATAGAGAAGAAATAGTAATCCGAATTTGACCTAACTAAAAAGGTAGTTTCAACGCGGTACATGGAAGATTTTACTAGGCAGCGGTGCCGGGTATACATTTAGGCCATGTGACCAAAATTTATTAATTTGTTATCGTATATGTAACATCCCTTTTTTAGAATTTTCAACCACTTGGAGTTAGGGGCTTAGGGCTAATTGACTTGTTTGCTTGTGAGTAGTGAGTACATATGAGGAGTACTTAGCTATTTCGGTAATTTGAGTTGTCGGCAAAGAATGACAAAAACTTAAACTTGAAGTTTGCACAAATTTATCATATCATTTGGTTATAAATGCACGATCAAAAGTTTTTCCACACCTGTCATGTTATGAATGACACACGATTTATTCTCTTACACGCTCTTCGAAATGAATAGAAATTATTCTTTGACATTGGTTAAAAAAATTCCTCTTACATGAGCACTTCTACTATGCTTTGCAGTATTGGTACTTTAAAGTACAAATTGGAGTTATACCATAGCGTTAAAGGTACAAATTGAAGTTGTACCATAGTCGTTTGGATGAGTTGTTGTGTAACGAGTTAATATAAAAGTGAAATTTCTCACAAAATGAGAATGTGGTATTTGTGAGTTATTTCACAATAACTACCCCTATGAGGTATTGACAATAACTCATTAATGAGTTATTTCAAATTAACTCAAGTACAAATAACTCATCACCAACTTTCGTAGACAAACGGGTTATTTGCACCCAAATAACTCATTTGTTATTTGGGTGCAAATAACTCATACAAATAACTCATCCAAATGAGTTATTTGTACCATAAAGAGATTTTACAAAATAATATTGGTAGGTTGTACTATAATGTTAAAGGTACAACTTCAAATTATACCGTAAAGCTAAAAGTAAATCACCAATGCTTTAAAACATTGTAAAATTTCTGATACATATATCTAAATTTAGAGCTCTCTCACAATGCGATCCATTCGAGGACGTTTACGTTGAAATGCATAGAAATTATTCTTTGACATTGGTTAAAAAAAATTCCTCTTACACAGATTAATATGAAAAACTATTTTTTCCTAAGTGGGAAAATTAAAAAGTCTAGTTTGATAGAATTAAATATCATATACATATTTACCTAGGATTAATTGCGTGGAAGCTGGTCGTAAAGTTTAATTCAGCAAATGTTGAACCGCCAGACAGAAGACAATAACATGGTTGTCATCACAAAGATACTTTAACCTCCCCAACTAATCTCAAAGGTTGACCAGAATGTCACGTAGGTACATGTAAACCCCACTCTAATTAACCAAATAAAATTCATGATTTTTAGTATTAATTAATTGCGTTGGATTAAGATTAGCAGCTAGCCATGGTGCATGCATGAATCTAACTAGGATTATGTTATATCATGGAATTGATCATCTTCTGTGTCATTTTGTGCACTGTCCTGATCATCTCCCCGCCACCCTGCCGGGAAATTTCTCTCAATTCCGCCGCAGATATTTCCCCCCATATATATATAAGGTGATAGATTGTGTTCAGTTAACCTTGTAGATTTAAACATTATATTACCAATTTGAGTCGTAATGGCCAGTGGTGTTGTCAGAAATTTGATTAAGGGTATTCAACGGTAGACCAAAATTTCTAAGAGTTGTTAAATAGTCTCGAATTCAAATACTATCATTACTAAAATAAAATTTTACACAAAGCTTTTAGTCTAAGATTTTGATTTAAGGTTTGTCCATTGACATTAGAGCATTAACTTGGTTCCATCCTGATGGTGGGCACAAATACGAGCGTAAATTTGAACTAAACTTATATGTGGATTATATAAGTTTATACTAATGTATATCGAGTCCGTCAAAATAGACCGGAATTCATTTTGACGGACAAAACAAACAAAGAAATCATAAAACAATATCAAGTCCGTCAAAATGTATATCAAGTTCGTCAAAATGTAAATAAAATCCGTCATCATGGTATATCAAGTTCATCAAAATAGACAATACATGATGTGTATACTACTATTTCCTCAAGGCATGTTGGAAGTCTTCTTCTACGTTGATTTGTATATATGGTTGATCACCCATTTACCAAAATAATCGTGCCTTTTTAGGGGGATTTGTTGGAATATATATGCCAAAAAATTTCAAGATTCAATGCGTTGAATTGAAACATATAAATGATGCACTCAAACAAAGATCAATTTCATTGGATTTACATGTATAGTCGTAATTCTCACTAACTAACCTAATTAAAAACATATGACAATTGTCTGACCTGACCGCATTTTTGTATCCATCTTCATGGCGGGTTTTGTCTGCCTAGCTAGCTCGATCCCTAGTTGATTTGATTATCACCTTTCGTTTATAAATAAGAAGAAGAAGAAAATTCACTTTTACCGTTACAGCCTCCTTTGCATATAGATTCACAAATGATCACAATGTAGGTAAGGATTGAGAACAAAAGTAGGTGAAATTCGATTACTTTTAGGTATGTAATATATTAGCTCATGCATGATGTATATTAGCTAGTAAGGTAACATGGTCCAACATTTTGTGGCACGTTGACCCTTCAAATCTTATAAGTTTTGGTCCAAAAACTCAACAAAAAAAACCAAGTAATACTTAAAAAGAAGTTGTGAAAGCATTAGAAGCATACTTTTATACCGTTTTATAAGCTTTTGATTTACGTGTTTTATAATCAGACGAAAGCGCTTTTGTGAGCCAAACAATAATAAACTACCCCGCTTCAAGCAAATTTTTTATGATATCCTTTCTTCTTCGAATCCCTAATACCTATCTCTTCATCACTGATCTTTCAGCTCTCCTATCTGTTATCGCCCATAGCTCGTATTCTATGTTATGAACTTCTTGTTATGAGTTATACTTCGTCATCGTTTAAAAGCCTATCAAATTAGCTTGTGTGCGAGAGAGTGATCTATCATATAATGACCTATAGATAGTTATTCACTTAGAGAAATTTTACAATGCTATATAGTATTGGTGCTATAGGTTTTTGCCTTTATGGTACAACTTGATATTGTACCTTTAACGTTATGGTACAACATTAGATTATACCTATATTGTTTGTACAAATTCTTTTATGGTACAACTTGAACTTGGACATTTATGTGATGGTAGAACTTCAAGTTGTAAAGTTGTACCATAACATAATGATACAAATTCTTTTATGGTACAATATAAACTTATACATTTCATGTTATGGTACAACTTTAAGTTGTACATTAAAGCACCGATACTATATAGTATAGTAGAAATGCTCATTCACTTAATAGTGATTGTATTTCAACAAAGTACGTAGAAGATTTTTATCAAATTTACAGGATGTATAAAACCTTCCAATTCTAATCTGTCAATCATTTTGCCTATACATAAAAGCTAGATTTTAACTACATTGATCACACATGGTTAATCTTGCAATAAAATATATAAATATATCGTTCAGATGTATGCTAGCCTTACAGTACGCTCATCGAGTTTTACTATTTAGATTATGAACTAATCAAAGTTTGGTGACGTGATAGTATACCTAACTTCTAATGGTTGAACTCTGCCCTACTTCTCAAAAGTGAAATATAAGATTCATTTGATATGAAAATAATAACCAAACATTCTTATTCATCGAAGTATATCAAATAGGTGTGAAAGCAAACATATATTACACGTTAGACCTACACTAGCTTTTACAAGAAATATACCTATATTATTACATCCCAACAAAATACAAAAATAAAATATTGATAGCAGCGATGAACTGATATTACCAAGGTTGTCAAACCGCAGGTCGACCCACACTACAGGAAAACTTGACTATAGAGACAAAGAAAATGTGTCTCTATATGATAGTTATTTGTCTCTGTATTAATTTAGATGCAAATTACAAATTTGTCTCCTGTAGCGCTGTCACTATAGCCATATAGAGACAAATATTAGCTGTTACTACTTAGAGATACCGCAACTAATATTTTAGCATCTAATAAATCTTTGGACTTTGCTACGGTGACATGCACTTTTCGGTCGACCTCATATAGGATCAGGTCGACCTAATCAGTTGTTTCAGCGTAAAAACAGTTTCATGGTGCCTACTTTGGAGATTCATATCTTACAATTGGCTAGATGGAAATTGGAGATTAAAGGCTTGTTTTGAAGCTGAAGTGTCCCTCTACACATTAAAGTACTTGGGAGCTCAATAAAAAGTCCAAAAGACAATTTTTGAACCTGACCAAAAGGCTATGCCAAAACTGGGAAACTGCCTGAAAATGGCTAAGTCTGGCAACGTGTTTGTCAAGCCTACTTTGGAGCTCAATTTGAGAAGCATGGATGCGAGTCAAGTCCAGGGGCCTCTACCACGTTAAATTACGTATTTTTTTATACAAAGGAAAGGCATTGAATGAAAGATTGAATATCTTTAAGGCTTCAAACAAAAGGCTCGAAGTTGCTACGAAGACTGTTTTTCTAGCAGCTTGCTTGTGCTCGAAGTCTGCCAGAAAAACAGCCTTCGTAGCAACTTCGACCCTTTTGTTTGAAGCCTTAAAGATATCCAATCTTTCATCCAATTCCTTGAATTTGTATAAAAACATACCTAAGTTAACGTGGTAGAGGCTCCTGGACTCGACTCGCATTCATGCTTCTCGAATTGAGCTCAAAAATAGGCTTCACAAACACGTTTCCAGACTTAGCCATTTCTAGGCAGTTTCTCAGTTTTGGCATAGCCTTTTGATGAGGTTAAAAAATGGTCTTCTGGACTTCCTATCGAGCTCTCAATCACTTTAATATGTAGAGTGACACTCCAGCTTCAAAACAAGTCATTAATCTTTAATTTCCATCTAGCCAATTGTATGATATGAATATCCAAAGTAGGCACCATGAACTGTTTTTACACTGAAACAACATATTAGGTCGACCGGATCCTATATGAGGTCGACCGAATCCTAAATGTGGTCGACCGGATCCTATTTGAGGTTGACCGAATTCTAACTGAGGTCGACCTAATCCTAACTGAGGTCGACCGGAAAGTGCAAGTCACCGTGACATGCATGTCACCGTAGGCACCCTAAATCTTTTGGTCGCTATTTTATTTGCATCCATTTATAGTTTTAAAGTCACAAATATCCGTCTCCAAAATTATATTTAGAGACGAATATATTAGTGTCTGAAATTATTTATTGAGACTGTTATACTTGTCTTCAAATATAAATTTGAAGACATTATTATTTGTCTCTACTGTTCTTTTCCGAGACATATCATTTTGCCTCCTAATTACGTTTTTGAGACCAATATATATGTTTGTAAATAACCCTTAGGTGACTCATGTTCGTGTCTCTAAAATTGTTTACAAAAGCAAATATTTTTGTTTGCGATATGGATATTGTACAACAATTATATATGTCACTCAAGACCTTTTTCAATACAGTATTATTTATCACAAATTAATATATGTAGATGGAAAGAACTGTGGTATTCAATTGGCTTTTCACCCATGAAATCCACATATGCAGATTAATAAAAGTATAATAGAAAGACAAACATAAATGAAAATTATATAAATCATAAAAGACCAGTGAATACGTAACATTTGTAAACCGTGTACCAATACTAAAATCCTCCAATCTATAAAAAAACACTAAAATCCTTCAAACAAAGTAAAATAATATCCAATTCCAATAAAGAAAACTAGCACTAAAAACTAAATGGTCCTATTATAACTACTCTCCAAACTTGATGAAGTAGCAGATATCTGCAATATGATTGAGCATCTTCAAAATAATTGGGTATCCGCCAATGTGACCTGTTACAAAAACAAAATTTTAAATGAATCATATATTTGTCAAGAAAAAAAATAATCAAACTAAATATAACCAATTGCATTTAACTTAATTACCAAGGATGATGGCCAAGCGATACTCCTTCCAATCACATCTCCAATTGTTCGAAAACTTCCATATGGTCGTACTAAAGGCTCGTCACTTTTAAAAGGGACGTGAATGAATACTTCATAAAATCCACGACCCAATTCTTGGCCAGCCACACAACCCTTTGGATCTTTAGTTATGATATTAGCATACGCAACATTAACTTCAGGACTTAACAAGCTCTTCAATATTACAAATTCTAATCTCTGGAAATCAAAATGTTAATATAACTCCAAACAAAACCATGCTAACAAGTGTTGTATATAGATATGTGAACTATAATGCACCTGTGATTGGGTAGAGGAACCACCATTGTGAGATGAATCCAAAATAGAATCCAAAAACGAGAATGTCTTGTTTGGTGGCTGCATAATATATTAGAGAAGATAAATGCTTTGATAATGAAGAAAGGAACTCCAATAGAAAAGTTAAGGCAAACAGAACCAAACTTACATTACAAAAGAAAAAATAGTTGCGAGGAACCAACATAGAGGTTAAAAGGAGAGAACTTTTATAAACATCCACAAAACTAATAAAGTAACAGAGGACTACAACAAATTACCATTTGGGAAGTCTTGTTTTGTATATCAGAAGAGTTCACTTCAGATGATAAGCCATGGTAATGAGGCAGGTAAGTTTGGAGAATATGATTTGGTGAAACCTGACGTAATCAATAAAATATACATAACCAGTTATAAATTATAGAGTAAAGATTGTCCATTAGAAAACTTAATTTAAACTGACCTCATTTGATTGATTGATAGTTCTTTGTGGAGTTGTGTCTTGCAACATGGAAAGCAGTGGACTCCTCCCTAAGTTTTCCTCTTCTCTCCCAAATCCAGTGGGACTCATTTCATCCCCATTAGTTTCTGATTCAATCACTACATGGTCCTATAGCTCAAATGAATACAGTCATGTTAATGAAAGAAATGTAACCCATAATGTTTCAAATTACTAGTTAAAGAAGAGGATGTACCTGCATTGTTGAGCAGCAACATAAACCTCGGCTCTGGTTGGCTCGCGCTTGTCCAGTCTAGATTCTGCCTACAATGTTCAAATTAAATAAATTAACAATTGATAATGCATTATTATTTAAAAGTAGAAAGTTATCATACTACCATCTCGTCTCTCTTGCAAGCATAGCTTTTGGATCCCAAGGTGTGTGCTGATATCACTTTACCCCTGTTTTCCTTGCCCACCACTTCCCTTTTCTATAACAGCAAACAAGTGTAATAGCTTATTAGCACAAAATTAGGTTGAGTAGAACTAAAAGATGACCTTATTTGTTGGTTATATGAACCATACCACAGCTTTGTCAGTGCTTGATAGACCGATAATTATACATGTTTTCACCCCTATTCTGAAGCCGTTTGTGATGAGGAATCTCGTGTTTTAAGCCGATTTCACGCTAGGGTACGTGTTTATGTCATATTTCAGGTCCCGGCGTTGGAATCGAGGCGGAGGAACGAGTTCTGGGTCGATAGGAGTGAAGTTGGGACAAATTAAGCCGCAGGAGGAAAATACCCGGTCAGGTGGCCGAATACCCGACCGGGTATTCACCGTTTTGGGCGCCCGAGGAGCAGAGAGGGGCCCGGGCAGAATGCCAAAATCCCCGGTCGGGGATTATTGAAAGCGACCGGGGATTTTCCCTGAAGACGAAACGGTGCGCTGCGATAATACCCGGTCGAAACCCAAAATACCCGACCGGGTATTTCGACCTGGTATCGCGACCAGGCAGTCAATTTAAGGAGAAAGAAGGCCAACATTGAAGGGTTCCGAGTTTTTGAGAGAGAAAGCGATACCTAGAGAGAGAAAGCGACGAACCAGAGTTCCCAAGCGTCATAGATCGATCTTCATCACCATTGGAGCCCGGCTTGAGCTTGGAGAAGTGCGATTAAACGTCCAGGAGCAGAAATCCATCTTCACAGTATGATTTCCGCGTCTGAATCTGCTTTTGCTTCTTTCTCTATGGAGTAGTTCCCCCATTCATCTGGGTATGGGGAACCCTAGATTTGTATGCTAGGTCTGATTGTATGAACCCAAGTACAGAGTTTGTGAATTGATTATATTCGATTGAGGTTTGAATGATTGAATGACTTGAATCCTGATCAAATTCCTGTTGTTTCTGCTTTGACCTAGAATGAGAATATCTGCCTAGGTTGATAGAGTATCCTTAATCGAAGGTGGCGAATTGGTGACTTTAGTCGAGGAGCCAATTCGCTATTCTGTACCGAATTCAATTCGGTAGTGGAGGTTTGGTTCGTTAGGGCCTCAATCTGTTTACTCCGGTGGAGGTTAGTCGCCCGCTAGAGACTCAGATTGAGAGGGTCTGAAGACCTTTAGTCGAGACTTCGGACTAATCAAGAACCTTCCGCAGTATAACTTTCATGAAAACTGAACTTGGTAAATTGCAATCCGACTTAACTGCAGTCTAGGGGGAACCATATCCGGGTGACCTCTCTTGACTTGACAACAACCGCTTACTTGCTTTGTGTTTTTGTTTGCTTGAGTTGCACTAAAAGTTCACTGCTAAATAACGAGAATTCACCGAGTAGTCATCACATCTAGGACCCGGGTTGATAATAAAACCCAAACCCGCTATACTACGCTTTAGGAAGTGGTTACACTTGGCCATTTTCTAGAGTGACAGTAGGAGTGAGTCAGTGCTCCAGAATCTTAATAGCCATGCCCAATCATCATTTGATACCCTTTCATCCCGCTCTTTATCTCGAAACCAATCTCTCTTTACAGAAGACTTAAAGTTCCTCCACTTGTTACTCAAGGAACTCAATATCCAAGGTTCAACAAATGGGCCAATGTCAAATTTTTCCTACATACGAGTTGAACTGCAAATGAGGATGGAGAAACTCATGAATTAAAGATACTTGCTGTATAAGTGACTCAATATGCATACCTGTACCAAATCCCACATTTGAGTTTTGTAATAGTTTGGCATGTTCCTCCAGTCCTCATATCTGAGAGGAGCATAAGCTCCATTCCTTGCTAAAGTACCCAAAAAATTGGTCAGTTTTTTAACATTTTTACCTATTGGTTGTCCCTGAGTATTGACCCTGATATGAAACTTTTCACCCTTCGACAAAGCCCAAGTATCCTTGCACTTTGTAGGACCTCTTTTTCGTTTGATATGTGTTGAACCTGCATGAAACAATGTAATCATGAATGGACCAGGTGTAACCTCCATGTTTAGGAGTCTACAATCAGAACAAAATTAAAATTCCTTCGCAAATCCCTAATGGGACAAGAAGCCGAAGAATATAGAGAAGTTAGTATATAGATATAGCTCTCAATATACATAAAGAGACAAACGATAAGCAACAAGAGTAAGCTTACCTGGAACTACACTTTCACGATTCTGATTTGAATGAGGAAATACACTCTGAGCCGATTGGGATCTCGAACGAGCCATCGCCTGTTATTAATAATATGATCAAAATAAAAAACCAGCAGCCAATTTTGATTAAAATGACGATACCTATTCTTGTCGCCGCTACGAAATCACTATTGGTGAAGCCTTCCTTTGAGAAACCCCTGACGGGGAAGCGGGAACCCTATTAATAGGAGGTATGGATGGCTGCGCCGGGAATTATTTAGGTTTAATAGAACTTTTGGGGCTCACTTTTGGTGCTCATTTTGGCGCTTTCTTTTTGGTTCGTTTTTTGGATGGTAGCCGCTCACTTTTTAGCTATTAAGTCTTATTTATACAAAATTTAAATTTTAAACCTCTTATGTATCTCGTCATGATTCAAATATTTTAGCATTCAATCCTAGTGTTGGGTTATCAAAGGGAAAGGAAAAAGAATGCTGCCCGGGAACCTTTATTCTTTGGGTTAATTGCATGGTTGGTCACTGATATTACAAAAAACGTTCATGTTTGGTCACTGGAAATATTTAAATCCAATCTTGGTCACTCAAATTAGTTAAATGGTTCAAGTTTGGTCACTCTCCGTCCAACTCCGTTAAATTTGTCTGATGTGGCAGTCAACACTCAAAGTTGACCGTTAAGTCAGTGACGTGGCAATTAAAAAATACTAAATAAAATAAATTTTAATCTTCTACTATTTCCAACTCATTTTCACAATAAAGTAAAATAAAAAAAATATTATAATTACAAATTGAAAAACCTTCCCGCAACAAAACCCACACCCTATTCCCATCCTAGCTCTGCCCGCCGCCGCTGTCCCCACCGCTCCCCGCCCATAATCACCTGCACGGGCTGCACCTCCTCCACCCTCGACCCCGCCCCTTCCTCCAACTACGTCAACGCCTTGGCGATTCATTCAAAGATCGTAACCACAGTGAGAATCGATCTATGGATTGGAGTCCATGCCTGTTTCTTCTTCTTTGTCATTTCTGGGTTGAGAAATGATATTCTCTTCTGCTGGTCCGGCGATTCTGGATAGCCGAAGTGAAAGCTAATGGACAAAAATGGCGCAGTCTCAACTGGAGGCCCACCATTGTCCCATGGCCGGCTGCGATAATCTCTCACTCCAAACATGGAGGGCGGCGACAAACCGCAGCACCCGAAACGAGGATTATCTTTCAGTCCCCAATCATGGCCCTTTCTGCCAGAGATCGAGTGCGACAAATCGGTTCGGAGGATATACAGCAGAGAGGCCATGGATGATGGAGACCTGACATCGACATGGCACCAAGATACTGCGTTACGTCTCTTAGTTTGCCTTGATTTCGACATAAATGCCCGAATACAGAGTATCCCCTACCACAAATCCTCATTGTGGAGAAGAAGAGTGGGAATCGGGAGCTGAACCCATTTCAGTACCGTCACCCTCTTCTATTGTTGTTCTGCGTTCTGCTTTTCTGCTTATACCCATTAAATGGGGAACTAGCCGACCCGATTGGCCACGGGTACAGAGTTGTATCAGTCGGAATCGATCCCTCGGCAGCAACTCCTTCGTCGTCGACCTGAAGCTGATCAACCAGTCTTTAGTTTTTGGAAAAAATCCAAAAATGCACGAGTTATTAAAAACAATTCCCAATCTACAACACTTGTACAAATATTTCCCAAAATACCAAAGTTTTACGTGGTTCGAGTCGGACAACCTCGATCTACAGAGAGGTTCGAGTGACAGAGCCTCGATCCACGAGCATCGTAGTAAATCCACTCGATTGGCGGAGATCTGACGGTAAGGATCGAGCTTCAGTGCCACGATCCGCGTAGATCGAGGGTGATGGACTCGATCTATGCCAAAAGAAGATTTTTCGCCCGCCGAAATCGTGGGAATTACCATAAACGTTCCATTAATTATCTTACATAAATATTACCATTTAATGTTTTTCCTTTTTTATTCTGTTTTGAAAATAAACGTCCTTTCTTAGCAAGAACCCTTCCTTTTTCTCACCCTATAATCCAACGTTCAAAACTCTTCCTTTTTATCATAAAAAAAACCCTTCCTTTTTACCATAAAAAAAACCTTCCTTTTATCATAAAAAAACAGTTTTTTTATTACAAAAAACATCCCTTTTTGTAATGAAAATGTATATTAATTTCGCGTAGCATAATGCACCGGATTAAAAAACCTTCCTTTTTTTGTTAAGAAAGGATGCTTTTATTTTCAAAATGAAATGAAAAAGCTAAGTAATAAATAGGTAAACGTTGGGCAATAATTAACACGTTAATCCACCTTCAATGCCCTATCATCCGTTCGAATTAAATAGGGTAATTAATGGAAACGTTTTTGATGATTCCCCATAACATTGGCCGACGAAAATAGGGTTTAGGGGGGTGGTTCGAGGCAAAGAAAATCGAACGGCGGAGATCGAGTTTCTCTTCCTCGATCTATTGCGACCCTTCAGTGGATCGATGATTACTGACTCGAACCCTTCAGTGGATCGAGTTTCTTTGACTCGAACCGCGTAAAACTTATGTATTTTGGGAAATATTTATATAAGTGTTGTAGTTTGGAAATTTTTTTTAATTAATCTTGCATTTTGGGAAAAAGACCGTAGTTTTTGGTCCCGACATTGAGAGACTTACCCTCACTGTCAGGTATGCAGAAGTTTGTCGACCAACTGTTTGTGTTAATGCCTAGCCGAGTTTCTGTTTGTTTCAGAGATTCTAAGTCTTTTGCATGTTTCTTCTCTGCTTTCTTGTATGTGCATAACTTCGAGACGGAGGATCGCCTGCGGATACGTATCACAGATGCCAAACACAAGAGATGAGAGATCCCTTAAGAAATCATCCCACGTCAAAATAACACCTTGGACTCGAACTTAGCCCATCACCATTCCGAGCACCAAGGCCTCGTTTTATCATTCCCGAACTCAGACCTCACCTTCACACT